CACACTGAAATTCACAGTACACATTTTTAAACCACTATGTAGCACTTTTTCTAGGATGAGTTCAGGGTTAGGGTTATTGAGCCAATGAAGCAACGTTCTCCACAACTAGACTGAAGAACAAAATGACAGCAACTTGTCTGTTTCCCTTCCCCCAATTCCCCAGCGGTGTTCCCATTCCCCAATTCCCCAATAAAAGTGTTTAAAAAAAGAAATAACCAGCTCGCGGTTTCACTGATCTTTTCTATTGGTTTTTTGTTTGTTTGTTTAGTCTTCGTTTTGTTTACTTCCACTCTGATCTTTATTATTTCCATTCTATTCACTTTGGGTTTTGTTTGTTAACTTTTATCTAGTTCCTTTATGTGTAAGGTTAGATTGCTTATTTCAGATTTTTCTTTTCCTTGAGATAGGCATGCATTGCTATCAGTTTTTGTCTTAGAATTGCTTGGGCTGTTTCCATAGATTTTGGTTTATTGTCTTTTCATTTTTATTTGTCTCAAGGTATCTTTAGGTTTTCTTCTTGATCTTGTCAGCTCATTCGTTTTAGTAGCATGGCATTTAGCCTCTTTGTGTTGGTGTGCTTTTCAGCTTCCTTCTTGTAATTGATTGCTAGTTTTATGCCATTTTTATTGGAGAAGATGCTGGATGTGTTATCAGTCTTCTTGAATTTACTGAGACTTTGTTTGGTGTCCTAACAGACTATCCTTGAAAATTTTCCATGTGTATTTGAAAAGAATGTATATTGTGCTGCCTTTGAGTGAAATGCTCTAATAATATATTTGCATTTAAGAAAGATTATTCATTCAGTTTGTGTAATGGAGAACAGATCAGAGGGATTAAGACTGGCAGTAGAGGGGCCAGCCGAGTAGCACATTGGTTAAGAGTTGGCTTGGGACGTCAGATCTGAGCAGGGCCCTGGTTCAGATCCCACATGAGGGCGAGTGATGCTGCGCCCACTACAGCTGAGATGGTGAACAACAGCTTAACCTGGAGCTGGGCTGCTGTGAGTCGCTGGTGATGGTGTAGGCTGCAGCCCCTGCTACAGTGGGCTGCTGTGAGCTATCATGAGTGGCTGGCAGCCAGCGTGAGCAGCCCTCCAAAGGCCGGCACGTGACTGCGTCACCCAGGAAGAGCGCAATGATAATATCAACATGGGCCAGTAAAGCGACGTCCTCCACAACTAGACTGAAGAACAAAAGGACAGCAACTTGTCTGTTCCCCTTCCCCGATTCCCCAATAAAATCTTAAAAAAAAAAAAA